GAGCTGAGATCACGTCTCTGTACTCCGGCCTGGGCCACAGAGCAAGACTCCATCTCAAAAAAAAAAAAAGAGAGATTATTTGCTTGCTAAAGTGGGATAATGGATATGTCAGGAGGAGAACAAATTCTAATAAATTTGCATTTTATTAATATTAAAACATAATGAAAAGTCCCACGCTTCTCTAAGCCACACAACGGGACAAGAAGCAGAGAAAGAAGTGCCAGCGACCTGAGCGTGAGCCAAGCTCAGGAAACGTTCTGCACTTTAGCAAGCCACTCTCAACCATACAAACAAAAGCAAGCCTCCCCTCATCCCAACTGCCAAAACTCTACCTGATCACTAACGTCTTAGCAGCACTTCACTTATTCATACTAGTAGCCACGGACACGTCTGAGAGTGCTTTCACACCAACGCGCCATTTCATTTTAGCAGCTGCACTTCAAGGGGCTGAAGCAGCTGCTCTCGTTCCTTGTCTCACAGGTGAGCACACCCGACAGAGAAGCATCTCCAAGAGGGTGAAGGGGCAGAGCAAGGTTGGAGACCAGGGCATGGGGGACGAATGCCAGCTGGACTCGAGGTCCAGGGCTTCTGAACCATGAACAACAAACCTTTGAAGGAACCATGGAGCTTACGTGAGCTTAGACATACCTGTAACTAGCAATAAAAAACTAGTAACAAGCAAAGCCACTCATGTTTGCCAAATTGATCAGCAACTTTCACACCAAAATAAATTTATATGAGGCAAGTTTTAAATTCTGAAACATGCTAAGTTACCTTATATTTACATCTCTAAATAAGTATACTTATGTCAGAATTCTTTACCAATGTGTAAGGCCATGATTCTGAAGGCCAGCCTTCTTTGGTTGAGAATGAGGCAGGAGAAGTGGGCTCAACGGAACACACTTGGCACACATCTCCAAAGCAGGTTCTCCATTAGTTCCTAATATATTTCCTTTCCAAAACTACCAGGACCATTCACGGAATTTAAATGAACATTTCCCAAGGAAGGAAGTGAAAGGTTTTTTTTTCACGTGAAACTCACTGGAAGTTGATGTTATATTTGCTATTTATACAAAGTGCTGCACATGTGGTCGGAAACAAAAGGAATCAAAGAGCCATTCACCTGTGTAAGGAAAAACACAAGGCTGAAATAGAAACAAAAGCAGACAACAATGAAGTACTGGCACATGGAGAACAAAACTAACATGTCGTTTTCTTACTCTCTTGGTAGAGACCCCAGCTAAGTAGCAACATTCGCCATCACCTCAGAATACAAGGGCGAACACTACAAACTGTTGCTTGTTCACGTCCATCGTTTTCATCACTCTTTCCTTTCTTTGGCACAGAAGTAAACTCCAGTTGCAACTCAAAGGGCCCCATCTCTATGCCCTTCCTACTTTCAAGCCAGGAGCTCTTGAAGGAGAGGACAGTGAGTCCAAGTCAGACCCCAATGATCCTTTCTCCGCTTCTTACCCATCTTCCCCCAATGAGTTTCAAAAGCCTGCTCCTTTGGTGCATTGCCACCGCCTGATGTCTGGGAAAGAGACACAGCAGGTACTTTTTTCTCTTCCCCTTTCCCAAATACTGTCCGCTGTTTGAAACAGACAACCATAGAAAACCATCAGTGATCCTTTGGGAAGGAAACAGCTTTAAGGGATATCTTCACTCCCCCCAAGAAAGGATATTCACTGCCTCTTCGCAGAGTTTAAATACAGAAAGTCGCAGCCTCTTCGAAGGAGAGAGGGGACACATGCCCGATAAGTGCCACCCACAGTGAGGGCCTCAGTGCAGGCCGCGGGATGGGTGAGCTAGGGTGGAGCCCGGCTGGGGCGATGGGTTCCTCTCCCCCGCGGCACACCCCGGAGAGGGGCTGGGGTCTCCCAAGGTGACGGGTCGCCCTACCTTTTCCGCGGGGCCCCGAGCCACCGGCGTTGCCGCTCCCCAGGGCGCTCGGAGGGTCCTTCCTGGGCCTCTTGCTCTG